GTGGACGAATGATTTTTTTTTCGTATAGGTTTCGTTCAAGAACACATTTTTTAGAACTTAGTAATCCATATTTTAACAGCTTTAATAAATGGTATCGAATTATAGCGTTTAAGATTAAAGCAAAGACGAAATGAACACAGGGAGGCTACGTTGTCATTATTTTTGTAAAACAATTTTATCGGACGAGCACGTTATTCACCACTTCACTGTTCCATGAATACTAAATAGTAAATGGCACGCGTTGTTTTAGAATAATATTTAGCGATAATTCTTATCTTAATTAATACTGGGAAAATCTATTTTTAAAATCGGCCGTTCGAATATTCCACCCAATATTTCACGAAGTTTACTGAACACAACAACATTTTTTATTCATTATAAAATATTATTTATTTTTACTTTATAGGTACTATTTTTTTTTTTTATTTATCTTAAAACAACTCGGCAGCGAAGGCCATTAGTTAATAGATACTGTTATAAAATATGAATCTAAATAATCTAATTTTACTGTTATACAGTATTCACAGAACTAATATGTTATTGATATAATATGGTATAAATATTAAATATACATTATTATAATAATTTTATATTCATACTAGAACCAGTGAAATTCGCTGAAAGTGAATACCTTACGTCGAAAACAGGATTTGAAAAAAACCGCAGAGAGTCATTTGGAACAAGGCATAATTATAAATACCACGATTGTCGATTGGGTAATATAAGATAAATATGTAATTATTATTACATTTGTTAAACACATTTATATTTTAAGTAAACAACTTGTTTAAAGTCAAAAGGGCCCGATATTTTACATAATTTATATTTTTTTCTGCATTTTAAATTATTTTGATAAACATTTTCTAATACATAGATTCTATTTATATAGTGAATAAAATACCTATCTCTATAGCTAATAATATACCTAATCTTATTATTTAGTAAAATTTAATACAAGTTCTACATTTTATTGATGGTTACAATACCTATTGGATACAACTTTAATATTTTAAAAATATTAAATAAAATATTTTTAACTTTATACAATAAAATTACAAATTTATAATTCCTATGATAATGACATTTCAATTTTTCATAGTAAATTGTTAATACATCTTTAAATCTTCAATATAATTTTCAAAGTATTTATATAAATTAACAAATTATTCACAAACAATATGTTTATTGTTGATGCATACATATGTTTATATTCTACAATTGTTTACATTAAAACCGGACCTCCAGTCACAAATAAATTATTTAATTTGTATTATTTTATACTATTAGAAACCACTATAAAATATTGATATCATTTGAAAGTCCAGGATTATGAAAAATCTATTCTAAATTTGATGACACAAATTAATCAAAATTTTCATTTTTTAATTGTGCAAAATATGAGTAATGAATAATGATAAACATATATTCAAAAAATAAAAATAAATCCTTCATTAACCCTAGATTTAAAACAATAGTAGTATTTAAAAATGGCACTAATAATAATATATTTATTAGTAATTAGAATAATTAATTAATATTTAGCATTAAATAGGCAACAACATCAACAATTTACTAAATAATAAATAATATCAATATTTAACATATTCCTAAGTAATACAATATAATTTAAAAAATATATTTTTATAAATATTTAGTATTAAAACTGGGTATATTGTATAATATGTAAACGACAACTTAGTGATCATTATATACATGCGTGATAGGTTTTTTTTTAATATTAATATAATTTACACCATCTATACATGATATAATTATTTTATTATAATTATTATTAAATACATAAAATTTATGAATTAAATTGTAATGATTGATGTTTTTGCCTTATATTAAATTTTACCTATGAAATATTAAAATTATAATACATTAGCACCAATATTTTTTTTTATTATTTTTTATTTTCTTTACACATTATTTTTTGATAATTTACAGTTTTCTTCAGAAATGAAGTTGGGAAACTTGATTATTTTACATTTCTTTGAACTAAATTATCTAAAAAAAAAAGAAAGTGAAACCTAATAACTTGCCCACAAAATTAAATAATGTTACCGGTAAAAAATATTTATACACACCTAATTAATGTTATTCTGTGTTAAAATATTAAATTTTTTTTAAAAATATTCTTTAAATCATCTGTTCAAAAATATTCTTAGTACATATAAATAATCTTAGTATATCAATAAGCAGAATTTTAATGTATAACAAATATTCTGGATTAATAACTGGAAGTTATGATGCAACTTTGTTAAAAAGTTATAAATGATCTTACTATGAATATTGCATAATAAATTAATAACTTTCAATCAATATACATTTGTAAAAAATTTGTATAGAACTGACAACACTGAAATTAAAATGTTTTAAATATATTATTTATTAGAATTTTTATAGCTCGCTACAAAATTAGTAAAACTTACCAAAAAATTATACAATATTCTCGATGAGGTACTTATTTAATTCACGTGTATAATACCAATTTGAAATATTTGGATAATACTTTGGTTTGATTAAATAGTAAACTAAAATACATCATAAAAATCATATAGCTACCTATCATAGTTAGTCATAATTTTAATTTGTATAACAATATTATATTACAGAGAAATAATTGTTTCAATTGTAGTATGAATGTTGGCGTATGACGTGTTTAGTGTTTATGTTAGTATTTAGTAATGAAAGTAATGAATTTAATTTGAAAAATATATTAAATAAAATACTTTACTAAATATATTTAATTATTTTTTATTAATCACTGTTGGTTATAAAAATTGTTTAACAAACAATTATATGAGAGCAGATACTTAGGTCAATAAAAGTTATCTGTGATAACTGATAACTATAATACAGAATTCGGCGTAATGAACTCCCACATTTTCGAGGTGAATTTAAAAAAAAAACCAATACAATATAATATAGAAAAAAAAATGTTATTTATTTAAACTATATTATATAAGGTTTTTTTTTAAATTATTTTTTAAAAATTATATCGTCCAAATGATTGCGTCCAATTGATTAACGAGCGACGCACATATGGAACCTTTCTCGAAAGTTCATCACTCTCACCAGCATATTGATTGGAATCCCGAAGATTTCTTGACGAATAGCCTCCTTTAGTTCTTCAATGGTTTTAGGTCGATGTTTGAAAACTTCAGCTTTGAAGTATTCTCATAAGAAATAATCGCATGGGCTCAAATCAAGGGAGCAAGGAAATCATGTAATGTTTTCCCTTAAGAAGATCAGACGACCAGAAAACATTTCTTTCAAAACTGCGTAAGAACGACGGACAGTATGAGCTATGGCTCCATCCTGTCAAAACTAAAAGGCATCAGTATTTTCGTATACTCTTCAATTTTCAGACGTAAAAAGTTTTTCAGCATCTCGCAGTACCGTTTGGAAATCACAGTAACTGTCACACCACCCTCTTAAAAAAATTAAGGTCCCGCAATGCCTAGTGCCTACCGTTGACAAAGCGCACCAAACTGTTACTTATTAGAACTATGAAAAGGTCATTGGTGTATTGTTCGAGGGTTTTCAGCAGTCCAGTAACGAAAATTTTGTTTATTCACTATGCCAGAAATGTGGAAATGTGCTTCGTCGCTACTCCACTTAATACCGTTGGGAGGCACAATAATTGTAAGAACCAAATCTTTTCGTTTTTCCCAATCTACTGAACTTAATTTTTGAGTTATCATAATCTTGTATGGTTGTGATTTAAGATCACAGTACAAAAAATGCCTTACGTTCGATCCGATATTTCGAGAACAGAGGCATGTTTTCGAGCAGAACGCCGATGAAGACTGCTCTATCGATGTTCTTACTGCAGCAATGTGTTCAGGTGTTCTCACAAACTTGAGACGTCCAACTGGTTTTTAGGTATTTTGCAGATCCTGTTGCTGCAGTGTTGCTCTTAAATTTTGTATCTAATTCAAAATCGTTTTCCGATCAGTTACACTTTCGTTTGAATTTAAACCGAGTGCAAAATGCTCTCTTTGTCGCAGTCACACATTTGGCGTTTTTGAAAAATGTCTCGATAACGAAACTACGTTGTTCACCGGACCACGGCATGGTGACGACTAAAAACTTCATTAATAACCTAATGTATACCTATCGCATTAACAATAAACACACTTGTCAATTAATTAAAACAAGTCGTTATTTTTATATCGATAAATTATAAGTATTTTGTTTTTTTAAAGCAATCGGTATTAAATATAACATGTCATTAATAAGAAACAAACGTTTAAAATAGCTAACGAATTATACTCCATTTTAAAATTAAAAAATGATTTAAAATATTGTTCCAATACAATAAAAGGCGTTGAATTTAGAACCAATAGTTTTAAAATTTTAAATATATTCTAAGTATACTAAATAGTTTATTAGAAAATATTTCACTTTTATTTTACTGTTACAACTTTTATACATAGCAATATCTATGGCAAATATATTTTAGTGTGCATGAATACATGTTAGAAAAATCAATTAATAATTAATTAATATATGTAGTGGATCTTTTAAAGATGATACTTGTATTTCATATCAACGTACTCTATACAAATATTATCTACACTTAACAATTCGACTCTCAAATTAATATATAATTATTTTTTAAGTTGAATTTAATCCCATTATCAATATTATTATGCCTCTTTAATTTACTTCTATGTTCACCTTAAAAATATTTTTGTCATAATTAATAACTATCATTATTGCTTTCACTTTTAAAATTAAGTTTCATAACTCCTAAGCAAAATTTACATTTCAAGGTCATCAATCAAAATTGTTATATGTATGAATATAAATATATAATATTGAGTAATATATAGACTACAATCTACAAATATACTTTGACAATATACATAATTTGAGTACTTATTCAAGTACTTGTACTCACTGAAATTAAATTTAATCACTCCAATCTTAAACAAACATTTTTAAGTTAGAAATAATAATTTTTATACATTAACAACTATTTTTCTCTTAGTACATCCATACTTTTTCACAAGTTCACGACAACTGTCAAAACGCTCTCTAAAAAACGCGACACAACAGGCAATTAATTCATAGTAGCACCAAATGTCGGTATACCTATACCTCGTATTCGAATGTCGATAAAACACGAAATCGAAATTCAACGAACTATAAATAAACACTATAAAACTATAAATTAACACTCAACGACCAAGTAATAAATACTGTAAAGCAGAAGTATGTCGTACAACACAATGAAAATTCTCTTGATACTCGTATCCAGTTTTTGGATATCATGTGGCACAAATTTAAAATTGCATAAAATCATCGCACACGTCAACAACGCAAACACAACATGGCAGGTAAGAATATCACGTCAGATTTTTTATGAAATGAAACTTTAACAGTAATAATTGAAAACTATATCCTGCATATTTTTTTCTGTTCTACAAAACCAGATAAATATGAAATCAAACAGTGTTTTTCAGATTTCATACAAATATTTTTCTTATGCAATAAAAATTCGTTCAAGATATTTAAGACTGAAAAAAAATTATAATGATACTTAACAATTTTAATCCCTTAAAAAAATACAAAATTATTGACGAATCTCGTCCAGTACTGTGCTTAAAAACTACACGAGTATAATAACCAAAATATTGCATTGTGTCATTCGCGTAATAAAATTATGCGTGTAGACAATTGCAAATTATCACCAATTTCAAAATTATATCCCATAATATAATGCAGTGAGACTAGTGAGAGTAGTAGGACAAAACAAGATAAACTGCACTATACATGCATTCTCGACAGTATTATAAATTAAACCGCAGAGATTAAAACGATATTTTTCATTTACCATAAATGCGTTAAAGTATGTCGTAATTGTGTTTAGGCCGGAATAAACAGTTTTCATACAAACGACCACAAAAAATTAGTGGGAACTTTTCATCATCTCGAGGTAAATCATGATTTGGACCACGAGATCTTTGAAGGCAGTTCTGACAGGGGTGGCGATTGTGACAAAGACGGTGATGGCGACGAGAACCTGACACCTGAGAGTTTCGACGCCCGATATCATTGGTTCAATTGCACTTCCATTTCACACATCTGGAATCAAGGCAACTGTGCCGCTGATTGGGTACGCAACAATTAATTTATCAATATTTACGTGCATATCTTTGTAAATGTATAGATAGGCGTGAATAATAAATATCAGGAAAATAATATCGTCTTATACAAAACTATGTCATAGCCAAGTGTTGGTGATATGATTACCAACTAATAGGCCCAATATTTTCCATTTCGTCAAATTTATTTTTACCGCAAGGATTTCTTTTTTCTAGTGACAATTTTGTAATCACCTCCTGAAGATAATAGATTACTGAACAATAAAATATGTCCATCATAATGTATCCATTTATTACAACTAAAATCTGACGAGTTAAAATTTATGATGTACCACTGCGAAGACAAGACTCGAGTGAATTGATCATAATATATCCTCCCCTTTTGTACATATATATATATTTATATAAACTGTATCACGAATCATCAATAAAGAAGTTATGATAGTGTTTATAATTTATAACTCGGTCAGTCGCTCAAATTCACTCATAAGAAATTAATAAAAATCTGAATAGGTATCAAGTACCTATCTAAAAAACATATATAGTCTATGATAAAATATTATAATATTTAAGGTTTTTCAAAAAAATAAATAATAGATGACATTTTAAAACATGAAATATCACCAAAAGCACAAGTACCAATTAAAGATAAATTATATATTATCTACGTATTAATAATAAAATATAATATAATAAATACAACTTATATTGTTATCATTATTTATTTTATTCCTTTTGGTATAAAGTAAATGATTAAATAAACTTAACACTGAATAATTAAAGATAAACGATACATATGCAAGATTATTACATAGAACACCGTTAATATTCATAACTTGCAAATTCAACAATTTTAAATTATTAATCATTAGAGTAATTTTATATTTTAATTAATTGTATATCGTTTATTACAGTATGATTAGCCCTTTTCAGAACATGTGCTATCATTTTGTCATAATTTTGAATAAAATATGTCCCTTATAATTTATCAATCAATGAAATTTTCATAGAAGCAGTTTCATATTTCTGTTTTAAAGATGCCTATTAAAATTATAGGTACCTGTTAATATGATAGTATATCTGTGTATAGAAGTACACAATCTCATCAATGACTAGTAAAAGTGTAAGTAAAAAGTAATTAGATTATTAGCTATCATATTAACTATTGTATTAAATTCGCTATGTAATGACAGACGTGTACCTATATAATACTTTTAATACTATAATACTATTTAATCTAGGTAGGTATTTCGAACTTCAGTGCCTATTTATTTTACGAAATGCCAACTTCATGTTCCCTATAAGACATATTTTAGTTGTTTTCATCACAAACCAATTATTAGTATCACCACAATGTCACGGTAGTGAATAATTATGTATCAATATTGAAAATACGTAATTTACAGTGATTTAACTTCATCTAATTACTATATTTAAAATTTTAGCTATAAAAAAAAAAAAAAACTAAAAAACTGTAATCTATTTAGGCCATTTCTGTAACTTCGGCGATGAACGATCGCATATGTATTGCATCCAAGGGTAACATTACTGCACTTTATTCGCCACAAAAACTAGTTTCCTGTTGCGAAGATTGTGGTAACGGATGCAATGGAGGATATACTGCAGCCGCTTGGAAATATATACTAAGAAAAGGAATTGTTACTGGTGGCGACTACGGAAGCAATCAGGTATCCATACTTATTTGTATGTAAAAATGTGAATTGATCGTGAAAACGATTTTAAAACCTGTATATTTTTAATTCACAAATAAAATTTTCTCGATAAAAATAATATTTAAAATATACCAGTAGTTGGAGATTCGGAATGTTATATAATTTAATTTTAAACTCCCCCTTCATCACCCTTTAAAAACAAAAAAATTATACATAAAGTAATTGATCATAAAAGCGTTCATCATAATACTATGACATCGTATCATAAAAATTAACAGAAATGAGATAAGAGAAAAGTAAAGGTTTGCCGCTTCATTTAAATAGTAAATAATATGAAGTAATATTTTATACCTAAGTATTTTTTTTTTTTTTTTAATAAATACTTTTTAACACAATTTCAAATAAAAAATCATACAAAATAGTTTACTGTAAAAAAAAAAAAAAAGGTTTAATAGGTAATTTAATATACTATAAAAACATTAGATCATTAATATAATATAACATATAAAATATTCTTTTGTCGTAAGGAATACACATAGGTACCAACTCGTTTATTATATACCACTCATCAAAACAATTTTGAACCAGGACTCGCTTGTATTGATCAAACAATCATAAAATTAATAATTATTATACTAAAATTGTTTTCTTTTCTTCTCTTTATCAATAGGGCTGTCAACCGTGGCTCGTGAAGCCATGCAACGCATCTACAACGTCCGCTGATCATAGCTCGATGCTCGGACCACATGGCGTGTGTGGCGGCGACCCGGTAGTTACTCCGAAATGTGATTTGAGCTGCTATAATGCACAACACAAGGGCAAGTACTTGGACGAAATTATTAAAGGTACGTCGAACGGAGATTTACAATGATGATTCTACATAGTAATATATTATATACATACTTTATTGTTTTTGACAGCTCAGAAAGTTTTTACGTTCGATGGGTGTTCAGCAAGGAAAATCTTAAGAAAACACGGGCCATACGTAGTCACGATGCGAGTTTACGAAGATTTCCTCGCTTACAAGTCTGGTATAAATAATATAAAAAATCAGTACCTATAATATTATGTAAAATATTTTTTTCAATACGATTTTAAATATAAGAAAAATTTAGGTTGACTGTTATAACATAATAATCGGGTTGATCTTCATAACATATCCACCCACCATTCCATCATTTTGGATTTCCCCCGCTAAACGTGTGGAGAACCTAAAAATATAAAATTTTATTATACGTGAAAATAGCATGTTTCCTTAATATTTTAACTTTAAACGCACATAGCTTTTGTTTAAATATTTTTATAAATAGAACATTAGTATGTTTCATAACTAATTAGACTATCTACTATTAAAAAAAACAATATAAAAATAATAAAAATTTAAATAGGTAGGTACCATAGTTAAACCAACTTGCCCACCAAATTAACAATTTAGGATAATTTATCATTTTATTCATATAGTTAATAAATAGTAGGTACCTTAACAGAAAATTTTTGAAGGGTGTATGGAAGATTATTATCTAAAACTCTTAACACTCCGTTTCAAAATCTTGTGTTACTCACCTCCCAGATTTTTTTTTTATTATTGTCTAATGCAAGTAAGTCCTATTATTAATACTAGATCATATTTTTACTTCAGGAATTTTTTTTCGTGTAAAATTATTTTTTGTTAATACGTTATTTTATAATTATTTTACAACCTTTAATGGTACATAAGTACTTAAATAATTTATTATGGAATAGAATATTCTATAATCAATGTTTATACTTAATTAACAACTAAGTTATTTATTTTTTAAATAATCGAAAAATACGCATATAAACGTTTAAAAGAAATACTATGTCTTCTGTGAACGAGTATAAATAACAAATTAAACATCATTTGAACCACAAAAAAGTCGTAATTTTAATGAACAACGAAGTGTACCTACAAGGATAGCTGCTATGTTGCTTGCTCCCGTGTAAACTCAGAAAACATTCTATACGTTTATACCTAGGAGAACCCCCTAGAATCATAAAAACAAATAATATAATTTACAAAGAAATATTAAAAATTGATAGAAATTTTGAAGAAAGCCAACTTAAAAAATAAATATGAAGTTCAACACAGGCCACCCAAGCAAAAAATACTGCTTTAAAATATTAAAAAAAATGTTCACTAGCAATGCCGAGCGAGGCAATATTATGTAAAATTACTATGTCAGAAATATTATCTATACACCAAATCAAAAAACCAAAAATATTAATTATCCATACGTACTACGTTAAATGTTAGCATGAAGCAATCAAATTTGACACGAATGCAATTTATACAGGACGAAATGTACAGGTACAGCTAGTATTAAATATATTTTAATGAGTTTCGATATTTCATTTTGTAACATTTTAAAATCCAGATAAGTCCTGCAGATATCCTGAATAATATTTCATTCTAAAACCCTACATGCTACTATAGTTAACAATTCAAAATGTGCCTTAAGAATAATGACTTAAACTAAAATACTAATTATATTATATTATAATAGCTGTGCGTATATCTACTAAACTTTTTTTTATTTTTATTTTTACAATAGGTGTTTACCATCATGTTACTGGTGATTATTTGGGACTGTTGTCAGTTCGGATGATCGGATGGGGTTTGGAAGGAGGACAAGGGTACTGGTTATTAGCTAATTCATGGGGAACTTCTTGGGGCGACAATGGATTTTTCAAAATCAAACGCTTTGCAAATGAATGTTGGATTGAGAATTTCAGATACGCTGGCATACCAAAATTATGATGTCAGACCAGTGAAACATTAGGTACCTAATAAAATATAATAAAACTTAAAGTACAGATAAAAGTTAACACAGCAATTAATTTACATTCTTATAATTAATTATAGCAGATACAAGTGAAATCTGTTTAATTCACCACTGAATAAAATTACTGCCTAGGTCTTATTGAATAAAAAATATATTCTTTAGATATTCTATAGATTATGAGTGGAACAATATTGATTGTATTAATTGATATTGATAATGATATTAATGTATTGATTTTACAATTTAAGTTTTTTTTTTTTTTTTGTGTGTGACTATCACCAACTCTTACAACAATTATTATCTTCAACTTTTAGAGTGATTTCTGGTATCAAAAATAAAAGGTTTTAGTAATTTTCAAAATCAAAGAAAAACATAGATATTACTGATATTAGAGATAAAGAATAAACACAAAAACCATTTTTTGACAATATTAATTGTTTTTTAGTTGAAAATCAAAAATGAATAATTCACTATTGCGACTTGAACTTTTCACCAACACAAGTACAACCATTAATATCTTACAATATGAAAAAGTACACTTGACACCTACTTTATAGCAGAGAATCTTTTCGGATTATTTTTCACAAAGATATAAGGGGCATATTAATAATTGGCATTAGTTTTTTTACAAATTTATAATTTATATACCATTTTGAAGATACACAAGTCATAAACCTATTATAAACTGAATTTTTTACCAGCTCAGATAAGATTTGGAAAATCAAATTATTTCAGTTTCTATTATTTACCTTAGACCTTAGTTATCTAATAACTAGACATTTAAGTTTCTTTAACTCAACCAAAAGTTTAAAAAATAAAAACAAATAAATTATATATTATAGAACAGTTATTAATTACTTTAACTTTAGAATATTAATTACATCTTTAATATATTACAATAATTTATTCTTATTATGTTAAATACATTTTATATACATTTAATAATCTACAAAAGGAATTTTAAAAATTAAATAAAAAAATAATAACAAGTGTTCATTTGTTCTTCAATTGACTGCATATCCATTCCAAACCTTGATACAATCTGTAAAATATATGGTGTCAAATTATTTCCTAAGTTCAATTACAATTATCTATTAAATCACCTACCCTTCACCAGTTAATGCACAACAAGCTTGAATGTGCCACTGTTGTTTCTTAATGGAAGTCAGGTTTAAGTGTTTACTGATTTCTGCAGCAGTTAATGCACCTTTCATGTCTTGTTTATTGGCATAAACAAGAACAGCAGCTGAAGAAAGTTCTTCATTATTCAACACTTTATACAGTTCTTCACGACTCAAATCCAGACGACTGCGATCAGTTGAGTCAATGACCACTATCACAAACTAAAACATACATACAATTAGTATTATTATGTATTTAACATTGATAAGATATCAACACAGTTGATAAATGAGTATTTAAGTTGAAATTTTTTTATAAACAAATTATAAAAAAATTTCATTTTCATATTGTAAAATTAATTCATCATAAACCCATTAATACACATTAATTTTAGATTTTATTATTAATTGAAATAATACTGTAAGTTAACATGTAATTTTATGCTACTTGATAAGAAAAAATTAATGAATAGTATGCTTACACTTAATGATAATTTAAATATAAAATATTATTAAGTAAGGAATACAATTAATACAAGTTATTTTAATACTTCCTGAATTGAATATTAAATAAATGAAGGTCAAATGCATAACTTCTATTCATTATTTTTATCAATCATGATCCCTTATTAATTATTTATGAGTATAACTTGACAAAATATAATTGGTAATCAGAACTTAATCATACATTTATTAATTGATCAATAAACTACAGTAGTTATCAAATAATATTCAAATCAACCACGCATATAGAAAAAAATGACATCCACTAATAGATGTTACATCAGCTATGATACAATATATTCCGGCTAGCAACCACCAAACACCTATGGATTGCATCCAAATATCTAATACTTATTTGGCTTACACGCATGGTTGATTAGAATATTGTTTAATCAATGATAAAAGATGTTTTAGCCGATTAAAAAATATTTAAATTTTATTGTAAAACTGAAAAATATTATATACCTAAATGGTATAATGTAAAAACAAAATTTAATATTTTTCCTAAGATAAATGATAATTAACAACTTTAATGTTATCACATTTCACAACTACATTTATTTTTATTTTTTTATTAGGTACCTACTATTTTAAATATAGATATCTAGTGCATACGATACATAACATAACAAAACATTATAAATCGTACAGATATTCATTTTTAAAATTTTAAATAAATAGTAAAAAATAATTAAATAAATAATATTTATGAATAATTGTTTGAAATAAATTAACAAAGCAAAAATGCATTTAATATAGATTACAGTACCTACCTACTTTCATGACTGTGAATAACTTAAATATTTTCTTAAAAAAATTTTCAATATACTTTGATAAGTACTAAGTATATAGAATATAGATACTAAAAACAGAAATTTCAGTTTATTTCTAACACAGGTGTACTGCAAGGATTAAAGTAGATACTAAATAAATATTTAAATAATATAAATCAAATACATGCTATTTTAGGTTTCTTTTATTTCTAAGAGACTATACTTGTTTAACCTTATTTTAGATAAACAGATTATATATTCTTTTAATCTTGCTGTTTTAAATAGTTAATATCTAATACCAAGGTATTATTAAAAAATACTGATTCTCTTGAATATCTATCTTTATGACTTTATTTTATTAAAAACATGATTATAATATTCTAATTTTAATAGAAAGTTAATTTAATAAATACCTACTTAACTGTAATAATTAATATTTATGTTTTATCAAAATTATCTCAAGATTAAAAGCAAAGTTTATTGATTAATATATACCTCAGTGTTACAATAGTAGGTGGACCAGGCGGCTCTAAGGGATTGCTGTCCGCCCAGATCCCACATTATGAAATGTATATTATTCCATATCACTTCTTCAACGTTTGAGCCAATAGTTGGTGAAGTATGTACAACTTCGTTCATTAGGAACTGATACAATATGGTAGTCTTGCCCGCATTGTCCAGGCCAATGATGACGATTTTGTGTTCTGTAACAATACAAAAACATGATATTATTAACGCAAACAAAACATATGAATCAATTGTCATAAAGTGACAATATTAAAAATATTTACCTTCGGTGCCAAAGTAACTCCATATTTTTGAAAACAAGAGGCCCATGGTGACTGTGGGCAGGCTGTATTGATGAGAGTACTGTAAGCAAAACATCACGAGAATTAATAAAAGTTAGAATGTACATCGATAATGTTTGCTAACAATTAAGGATTACTATAATACACAACTGCTGGTCTACGTTAGACCTACAGAGTACAATTAGCTTTCAGACCCATTCCCACAGCACTTTAAATACACATAGCTCTACTAAAGTTATAAGCAGATGAGGTAGGACACCTACCTATACACTCACCAATCTCCGGCCACAGACCACAAAAGTAGGTTTTTCGTCGCCGAATCGGTTGTACAACTAAAACCCGGGAACAAAGAGACGGGACGATATCACTGCACTGCTAGGACGACAATCGTCGCCGCTGCAACTGATTGTAATATCCTTATTATCCGACGTCGCGTACTCGCTCGAGGAGTACACACACGCACGGCGGTCGCGTAAAATATCGTGCCGCAGTGGGTGTCGGGTTTCAGCTGGTCGCGACGAACGTTCGGCACCTCCAAGGTACGGAGGTCATAGTTGCTGCTGCTGCTGCTGCCGCCGCATTAATTGCTACGGCCGTCGTTTGGGCTGCAGGTGGTGCAGTGCGCGACCACATCTATGAAGTTAATAATAATAACGAGAAGACGACCGACTGACCGATTGATTGACTGAGAGCGCACTGCCGGACAACAGACTACTGGACGACACGGGCATTCGGTACGACTGAACAAGATCGCAGTAACGCGGTTTCACACTTTCACACGAATAGGAACAATGCAATATTGCAATATTATTATTATTATTATTCAACTCAGCGACATGACGTTAATAAATAGGTATTTAATAGTTATATAATAAAAAATATTAATAACCACAACAACAATAACAAACGTACGCGGTTTATACCAGGATATACCACTGAAGATTATAGAGGTAAGAAGTAAGAACTAAGTATGTGAAGTCAACTTACGGTGATAACCTTTGCACGTCAATGCACGAATTCAGAAGCAAACGTGCCAGTGAACCACTGCGCGAGGCTGATCGCTAATGTGTAGAAGTGAAAGTTGAATTGCTTTTAGGAGGGGGCGATTAATGGGAGCATAGAAATAAAAATTATTTAATATTAATCATTCTTTGTTCAACTACGCGCGTTATCGCTGCTACCTTTAATATTCTTATCTATATCATTTCATTACCACTGATAACGTCCGAGATGCGTCGTGCAATCACAGAATAGATTAAATGCGTCACTGTTAATTCCACAGGTCGGATCGGACATAATTATGATAAAAATAAAAATACCTAATTTTTAGTGACCTTACTTATTAGTTACTTATAACTTATAAGTACCTACCTATTAAACGATTAAACTTTAAATATTATTTTCTATTCCCGTACAACTGTACAACAGTGTTAATATACTGTGTTATATGCGTTGTAGTATTAATGTATAATTAATTTATTCATTATACATAATATTTGTTGGGTATAATAATAAAAGAATAGTATTTGTGTTTGGGTGAACAATAATAAACTAATATAATATTATTTTAATCACAACCGAGACCATATCTATACGATACATCACGAGTTCCTGCGCTTACTCTATTAAACCAAGTTGTTGTGACAAGTTATGTTAACTAAATGTTAGCTAGTATCACTGCTTATAACCACTTTGCGTTGCCTATCAAGTACCTATATTTGTATTCTTAGCTGATTATACTATTATCTATTTTATTATTATTTTCTTAACTGCAGACAACTTACGAGTCAACGAATTTTAAATTTTTCTAACCAGATTTCACATTATCTAACAATCTATTTTTTCAAAAATTTAAACTTTTAATTTCAATTAGTTAGTAGGTAATCATTTTAACGGCTAGGTATTAATTATTATTAAACATTCTTCTACTGGTTACGAGATACCTATTCCGTTCAAACTGCGATAAACACCAATTTAAATTTTATCTATATAAGTTAGCAATTGTACGTATACCTATTATAGTTGTATAATAACAAGTTATACTAAAAATCAAATAATGGCCTTTAAATAAGTACAACCTATAGATAAACTTAAATGATATGGCTGGATATATTATAACTACTGCGAAGCTATATAATCTAAATAGATGATGGTAGACTGTTGCATGCATACATAATAATAACTTATAATTACTAATTAGTTCATAATTCATACACAATATTTTAATAGACACGTCTTCATAGTTATTAATAATATTACACGTTGCACTATTTATATTTTATCATTTAATAAGGGATATAATAAATAATTATGATACCAGTATATCACATATATATACAAAATATACAGATTGATTCACTAAACATGCTCACCTTCTTTTCTCCTTTGATAAAACAATTATTTCGTAATTTTCAAGCTATCATTGTATTATGTATTAGTAGTTTTAAATAAAAAATAAAAATAATACATTAATTATTCATAATCTGATTTTTGTATTATTTTCATTATTACACCATGTTTTCAAATAAGAACTATATTGACTTCTTTTGCTATTTAAGGATAATCCTATGATAATACTAACATGTTTATATTTCAATTATTCTTTTTTACTACAAATTGTTACTTCAATAATTTTTATTTGAAAATTTTTACATAACTAAGTCAAAGTTTTTAAAGTTTGACTTACGACACTCGGTTAACATTTAATCATTAGCTCAATATGTATCTTGAAACAACGCTGGACTCAATTTGTTTTAAACAGTTAAATGGAGACTTTGTTCGTTGCAGCCGCCATTAGGTACCTACTACCTATTCAATTATTAGATACCTTCAACGTACCTTTATCGATACTCCGATAATTCCGGAATTGTGAACAAAGTAATAAAAACCATGCGAGTTATCGTCCGGAACAAGGTTGAAGGTAGTGTACGAATTACGGACATAAATATAACCATTGATTATAAATATTATTTATAATAAATGATATAACGTATTAATTTCAGACACAATTCTAATCATTATTTTCAATATAACGATTGCAAACCTTCTGAAATTTGTACTTGATATAAACAATTGACATCTAATTAGACTATTTATTAGCATTAAGAGTGTACCAGTGCTTTTGAGTCCTTAGTCCTAAAAAAAAAAAAAAATGGTGAAGGGGAATATTTGTGTTCACGATTCACATGGTTTTTATTAACTTGATGTCTGTAATTAGTATTTTGGTAACGAAACTCGTGTCCGTAATAGTTATGGATAATATTGGCCTAAACAATTCGTTTATAACAAATACGTAGCTCAATAGCCAATACTTAGCAATCAACAATATTTGTAGATTTTATTAGTTATCCATATAATATCATTTTAAATATAAATACATTTTTGTTCAGATAAATTAATAAATAACCTATGCCTTATTTAATGATTAGTAGTTTTATTGGGTAATACTAAATGAATACTCTCAAATTAAAATAGGAATCACAGGTATCCTTTACTATTTTGTGCTAATTCAAGCCCTGATTAGAATGTGTAATCGTAAATACCTATTAAAAAGACGCAAAAAAAAAATTTGAACCAATGTAACAGCTACACAAAATTGGTACCGCTGACGCGAATTTACTGTTACACATCTACAAAAAGGAATAAAAGCATAATATGTAGATCTAGTATCCTCGAAGTTCTTGGGTGGTTTTTCACAGGAGTTGGAATTCAAGCACATATCATTACTAATTATTATAAGTATTATATGTATATATTAAACATATTTTGTATTATAATATAGTACAGCACTTTCACAGTTTTTCACTTTCTCGCAGCTCCAAGAAACCGGAACCGCATGTTAGATATTGTACTGTTAATGGAACAAGGACATTCTGAAAATATATATATGTTATAATTTAATGCAATTTAACTCAACTTTGACGGAAGATAAAAGACAATTAATGAACCTAATTTGTTGATCGTGAGAATGAGATATATATATTTTTTTTTTTTAAATTATGAATGAATTATTTAATTCATATTCTATTGGATAAATACATATTTAAAAATTTAAAATACCTAACACAAATTTTGTAAAAGTGTATAATTATTTTATTATTTTAATTTATTAGTCAAAAAGTTTATTACAGATTTAAGTTTTAATGTATTATAGTATTAACCCTTCATTTGTTATGTATAATATCAAGTAATATGGTTGTATTATTCTTATAAAATATGGAAATGATTTCATCATATTATGTTTTGTTACAAATTGTATCTGTTTCTTTTAACCTTATATCTTGAAGGTTGATTTTAAAGATGATAACAAAGCAATCAACGTATTAGCTTAATTTAACACTTATACACTGATATGGTTATTGTCTTACTACTCTTGCAGTCTTACTAATGAAGTGATAACTATTAGATACTGGTACTCAGTGTTGGGAATAGATAATTAATAATTTATCTAGATAAAGATAAAGATTATTGTACTAATTTTTATATAAATAAAAATAATTACTCTTAATTTTATCTAGATAAAGATAAAAATTAATACATTTTTATCTAAATAAATATCAGATAATTTCATTAATTTTGCAAGTATTCAGTGATATAGGTTATATCACAGATATTAGGTAAAAAAATATATTATTTAAAACATTTTAAAATATAAACATAAAATAAAATAGTTTATTAATTAGAACAAATGAAAAGTCATTTTTTGATTTAACAATACAAAAAAATCCTAAATTTGAAAAAATAAAAAAAAAATAATTTTTTAATAAACTTTACTAGAAGATAATAAGTCAATCTCTGAGTTAATAAAACAAAAAAATTTACATTTGAAAATATTAATATTTTTAATTTTAATTTTTTTTTTAAGCCATAAAAATAAATTATCTAGATAGGTACTCATAGATAACTAGAATTTTATCTAGATGAAGATAAATATAGATGAGTTAAGAATTATCTAAATAAGATAAAAGATAAATCAATTCTATCTAGATAATTTATCTAGATATTTCTCAACACTGCTGATTTTAGTATTCACTGTTTTAGTGTTGTTTGCAGTTGTGTTCATCAAATGTGTGTTCAAAATCCATATTTGGTGTTTTCTAGTTTTCAATGTATTATTATAAGTGTTATTGAGTTATTTTAAATATTGTCAAGTGATATACATTTAAAAAATAAAATCTTGGAATTTAATTTTTATCATACGATCGTAAATTATACAGAGTACCTAAATATACATTCGGGATTCGCGCGGGACAGTTAAACGATATAATATTTAAAAACAAAATTGAGAAAGTCAGTTTGGGACCACTGACTTTCCTTAGGAATTTTTAGTTTTTCCATTACTTGGTGGATGCGAAATGCCTGGTGTACGTCTTAATATCACAATTAACACCATTACAGTTGAAACATGATATTATTGTGGTAGCTTTTCAGTATCTATTTTATATTTATCTTGTATAACAATAAGTACTCGACTAGCAGGCTTTTGTTTTAACTCAATGTCTGAATGTAGCGCAATGCATGCGCTTTACCGCTGATTATGGTCTACCTGTAATTACGGGACGCTTGATGTATAATGCGCTCTACTACCCAATTTATATTTTTATTATTGGGCTTAATGTTAATAAAGAATAGCACTCTCTTTTTCTGTACGATATAATTTTTGATCGTATATTTAGTCATTGGTACAACTCCAGATTTGCTTCTAAGGTATAAAAAAATATAATTATATATATATATATATATATGTATAATAACTATTACAGGTATCTTATTGAAAAGTGTAGGAGAAGTATGAACAAATTACAAAAGTGACACATTTAACGCATTTTTGAGAGATATGACACAAGTATTTTAATATTTAGGTATTTATTTTATTTTCATTTTTTCTAATTATTTTTTATATTTATGATTATTAATGGTAATAAAACGGATTAACGAGATGACGATATATAATAATTTTAAATAATATATTACCTATTTATTAGAATTTTTTTCATCATTAAAACTACTTTTATATCGCTAACTTATTACGAAAATATATTGTCTAAAATCTAAGTATGATTGTAAAGTGGTAAAACACAGTAGAACGTAATCAAACGGTAGAGCGCATACAGCAATCGAAATATTGCCGGTAAAGAATATACGACAA